GAAGGTAAAGGGCCAAATATACCAGTAGGGATAGCTTGTGGTCCCATAGTAGGGGTTAACACAAACCAAGCTGTGGGGCTGAGATCCAATCCTCCACTTCCTCTGGTTGCTCGGCAGAGGTTGGCAATGGTTTTTCAGAAGCCGACTTCAGAATTTGGCGAGGGTAGATGGACATGGCCACCATTGTTTGATGGGGCTGGGCCAGGCCCCACTTCCCATTTTCCTGTTGGGGAAGGGGCCAGCCTTCTACTGTGGTCTTGGAATGGCATTCATTAACTCAGTGATGTCCTCTCCGACATTGCGGACAGATATTAGGGGCAGAAGTAGAATGTGAAATGCCAGAATCTGAGTCCTGATTAGGACATTGCTTTGCAAAATAACCTCCCCTTCCGCATTTAAAGCATGTTTTGGGTCTGCGCTGAGGTTTTTTCTTTTCTTGTTCTCTAAAATATTGGGAGGGCATTATATTTCATAGAGCAGCTGCAAAAGCCACTCCCTGCATATATGAAGGTCCAATATCCTTACAGAGATGGACATAATCAGAGAGTGTTCCCTTTTTTCTGTAAGGGCAAATAGCAGCCTGGCAAGCTGTGTTGGCATTTTCATAAGCCCGCTGTTTAGTTAATAACATTCTACCTTCCCCATTTACCACTAGGCATCCCACGGCCTGCAGCAAATGGGATAAGAAATCCTGATATGCCTCATCAGGACCTTGACGGATCTTCCTAAGTTCTGTTTTAGTGCCAGCTGTGGGAAGCCTCCTCCAAGCTTGTTGAGCAAGAGTATTAATCTGCTGATACACATCAGCAGAGAATCCAAGCTGTCGTGCTACTGTAGCAAATTCATCTTCTCCTGCTAGCATATCAAAAGTAACCTCAAGTCCTTCCCTGTGATTGTGCTCAGCTTCTTCATGAGTGTGTTCAGAAAACTCTGATTTCCACAAAAGGTATTTCTCTCCACTAAGACAGGTGGTTGCTATATTTTTCCAGTCTACTGGGGGGGGGGAGGGAACTTCAACTGCCATTGTCTCAAGTAAGCTTAAAGTGAAAGGAGCCATGGCCCCATACTGTACCACTGCAGTTTTTAACTCCTTCAGAATTGTAAAAGGGAGCAGTTGATACTCTCGTACCACTTGTCCCTGAGCATTTACAGACTCAGTAACAGGATACCATCTGTATCACTGCAAGCCATCTTCCCCCTCTCCTGTGCCATTAGGAGAGCCTTCTGTAAAGGAGACATTTGAGGAGCACGGTGTAGGATGGGGTTTGTCTGAGGCACCACGTGGTCATGGGAAGACAGAGAGGACACCTTTGAAGACCATTAACGATTTTGATGGCAGGACTTTATCAGATGGTCGAAAGCCAACTGAAAATCACGGGACTCAATGGCCAAAGGTAGGGGTGGAGATGATGGCTCGACAAGAGGTGATTCCACCTCTATATCTATTTCCTCTTTATCCTCTATCTTTTCAGTGCATTCCCAGATCAAAGATTTTTCAATAACGTCAGTGGGGGAAGAAAGTATATCAGAAACTTCAGTAGGTTTAGAGACAGTTGAGGCCACAGGGGCTTTAGAAGCCTCATGGCTGGGATGTAAACAGTCTCTGATTAAATTCCATAAAGAAAAGGTGTCACCAGGGACCTTAGAAGGACCCACAACACAATAATGGTCTTGGAGCTGTCTCCCAACATGTTCCCAAGTTTCAATATTGACTGTCCCTTCTTCAGGAAACCAGAGGCAGACTTCTTGAATGTGATGTAAAAAATTTTTCTAACTGAACAATAGAGACATTGCAGCCCCAGGCTTTAAGCATAGATTTCAAGACTTGGAGAAAGAGGTCCCACTCTTTACTCCCGCCTTGTCCCATTAGTTTTACTCCTGACTATTGACTATATGCCTTTGTTCCTAAACAGAATAGGTGCACACCCTAAAACACGAAGTTTCTCTTACCTGTTTCCAAGAAGTTTTCTGTACTTAGGTCCCTGTTTGGGTGCCACTGGTTGAGATATATGCCTTTGTTCCTAAACAGAATAGGTGCACACCCTAAAACATGAAGGTTCCCTTACCTGTTTCCAAGAAGTTTCTCTGTACTTAGGTCTCTGTTTGGGTGCCACTTGTTGAGGACCAGTACCTGAGGGGAGACAGTAGAGAATTAATGAGGAGTCACATTTATGGGATCAGGAGGGCTTCCCAAGCTGCTGACCTGTGAAGCACCTTAGTTTATTTTAGGTTCTTTTTATAAGGCAGTAAAAAAAAAAATATACTGATTAAGCCAGTTATGTCTGGTACAAAGCTGTTTATAGAACACTTTCTGTTGCCATGGCACTTGAAGGTTCATGGCTAACTACTTATCAGCAAAATAAGAGCATAAATTCCTCCTTTGCAAAGTTCTCAGAATCCCGGGTTCAGGACTCTGTCAGCTTGTTATTTAATGTCTCACAGCTCCCCTTAAATTCCTATAGTGGTTTCCATAGATCCATGTCCCATCTGGATGTTCCCTTAGTAGACCAGTTTTCCATTGGCCAGACCATTGGGCACTGGCCATGCTTTGGTAAACACCCAAAAACAGGGTCTCTTATTGTTGTGCAGTTCTTCCACCACTGCAAGGGAAACAGCATGTTATTCAGCCCACTGAGCTGATTTGTTCTTACCTTCTTCAATCAGTTTTTCTATCAGGTGGTCATAGTATAATGACCTTCCTAACAGGATATTGTCCATCCAGTTCGGAACTGCCATCCATAAACCAAGAAGCTTTTTGTTGGCCAGTTGATAGCTGTTCGCAGGGTGCTGTACATGTGGCAATAGGATCTTTCAGTTCCTTTGGTGGTTCCAAAGTTGGCCCTAGAGGAAAAGAGGCTACCTGCTTGTGAATATGATGAATACTACCTTGTAGTCCTCCAGTGGCATGTTCCTGTAAAAACTGTTTCTATTATATTATAGAACTCTTCTGGGCACTGCCATCTTTATTAAGAGGGTTTCTCTGACAGCACCCAAGTCATTATGGGTGTTTCAAGTTTCAAGATTATTTTATGTCTTTTAGTCACAAATGGTGTATACTGTACCACCACATCTGGAAATTCTCTGGTCCAAAGTTTCAGCCTTTGCTGTTGGGTAGTACTCTCATGGGCTTTTGCCATAAGCTTCAGTCACTGTAAGTACAAGTTGCAGACATTTCCAAAATCATGTCTTAGTGTGGATCATAAAGGTCCAAAGGCATCAAGTGAGCTACTGCTTTTTGCAATTCACATAGTCTGCTTTTTTTCAAGCCCTTATTCAAATGTGGCCCTCTTTAGGGTTGTTTAATAGACAGAAGCTAGTAATATTTTTAGATGTGGAATATGCATCCTGCAGATTCCAAGTAACCTTATCAGGTGTTGCTTTTCTTGCTTAGTGCCACGGGTAGGTGATGATAGCAGTTCATTTTTTGTTGCCAGTGGAATGTCAGGGGTAGCTCCTGGCCATGTTATTCCTAGGAATTTTACCATTCGAGTGGGCCCTTGGATTTTTGTTGGATTTATTAACCAGCCTCTGTTGGTCACGAGTGTCACTACTGTGTTTAAGTCAGTCTTAGCTGTATATTCAGTTTCTGCTATTATCGTGATATCATTAGTGTAGTGTATTATTACACTTGGGAGGGACCTGCACCAAGTCCAAATCCCTTCTAACTAACTTACGATAGTAAGCTGGTGAATTCAGATAACACTGTGGCAATACAGTAAATGTAAACTGGGATCTCTCCCATGTGAAAGCAAACTGCAGTTGACTTCTGATGTTGAGATAGAGAAAAATGGATTTGCAGGATCAATCACTGAGCACCAGTCTCCTTTAGTTTCCTGTATTTTTTCACTGTTAAAACCCTGTCAGGAACTTCTGATGCTGTAGGCAGTGCTACTTCATTTAAGCCTTCATAGTTTCCTGTTAGTCTCCCTGAGCCACCTTCTTCACAGGCCACACAGGGCTATTCTAAGAGAATTTGTTGGACTAGCACCTCAGCTAACATGTCATTAAAGTGGTAATCTCTTTTTGTCCACCACGTATTCTGTGCTGCTTCAAATTAACAACTTGTATGGGCTCAGGCAAGTCTAAAGATTTTCATTTATCATTTATCATGTGCAATTAATATTGGCCAAGGGGTGAACTTATATGCCTTCAGTTTTACAATTCTAGGTAGGGGAAGTCTTCCATAGTCAGACATAGTATCTATCTCGGTAATACATTTAGGTAGGGGAGATGCAACCACCCATTCAGACATTCCCATTTTCATCCAAACTTTCACCTTAACTCCATCAACTGTTGTATCCCTGTATCCTCCCAATCTGACTGTGGCCCCTGTTAGGATTCCACCAACTGATTTTGGAATCACAGTTCATTGTACTTATCTATCAAGGAGTCCCAGAAAAGTTTTTTCTCCACATTTTACTTACACATGTGCATATGGCCTTGGGTCCCCAGACAAGATAAACCACAAGTCCATACTGACAATAAATTGAATGTATGAGGGAGAAGGGAAAGATCTTCCTTATGACTGAACGCCAATTAATAATGTGGAAAGAATAAGATAGAAAAATAACAATCTGCAACTGAGTAGAAAAAACAAACTTTTTTTTCCTACTGTACTCTCACAATACGGAACACTTCTGCAACCAATGTGTGTGTGAGTTTTCCCCACACACCAAGCAAGCAATCAATTCTGCAGTGACACCAGCTGGGTGTCCTTTAATTCAATGAGATTCTGACACTATCTACCTGGAGGTAGCATCAGATCCCGTAGGAGAGCTCAGTCCCACAACACTGTTCCCAACTTCAGATGCTAGTCACAAGTCCAGGCTTCCAGGAACTTCTGACCAACTGGCTGTAAATCAAGGTTCCCTTGACCCCCTCCTCGGATTCAGTTAATTTGCTAGAGTTGTTCATAGAACTCAGGGAAACACTTTACTTACATTTACTGATTTATTATCAAAGATCTTACAAAGGATACAGATGAACACCAGAAAGAAAAGATGCATACAGCAAGGTAAGTTGTGGTGGTGAGGTGGGGGGGGTTGTGGAGCTTCCATGCCCCTCTGGGGCATGCCACCCTTCAGGAACCTCCCGGAGTTCAGCTATCCAGAAGCTCCCAGAACTCAGTCCTTTTGGGTTTATATGGAGGCTTCATTACATAGGCATGTTGATTAAATCATTGGCCATTGGTTTATCAGCTCAACTTTCAGCCCCTCTCCCCTGTCTGGAGTTCAGGGTGGGATGGGACTGAAAGTTCCAACCTTCTAATCATGTGGTTGATTCTCCTGGCAACCATCCTCCATCCTGAGGCTGTCTAGCTGCACCCCCCAGCCACCAGTCATCTCATTTGCATAAAAAAGGTGCTTTATTACTCTGGAGATCTCAAGGATTTTAGAAGCTGTATCTCAGGAAATGGCAGAAAGACCAAACACATATTTCACAATATCACAGCAACTGCTGTAGTAATAATTGAGTCAAGCAAGAATCATTGATGGATGCCAAAGCTATTGTGTGAAAATTTAATGAGGAACAGAATATTTACATAATCCCAAAATATGTTCCTACAGATTACTCTTTAGTTACATAGGGAAAATTGGTAACTTTACAGTGGAGAAACTTGATAGATACTACCTTAACTAAATGATCAGAAATATGAAAATTAACTTGAAAATTCCTTCTAATCTCACCTTCTGGAGATAACCAGTCTTATTTTATTTTATTTTATTTTTTGGCGGCTGGCTGGTACAGGGATCTGAACCCTTGACTTTGGTGTTACAAGGCTGCACTCCAACCAACTGACCTAACGGGCCAGCGCAAAGAGAAAGTAATGATTTTTTTTTTGGCAGCTGGCCAGTATGGGGATCCAAACCCTTGACCTTCGTGTTATAACACCGCCCTCTAACAACTGAGCTAACCAGTCATCCCCAAGATAACCAGTCTTAACAGTTCAGTGAATATCTTTCCAGAACTCTGAAGTTTTTGAACATGGCTATCCAGTTTGTCCCAGTACCATCTGTCAGAAAGAGTATCCTTTCCCAACTGAATATCCTTGACATCTTTGTCAGATATCAATTGGCCATACATGTACGGGTCTTTTTCTAGACTATTTTGTCACATATTCAAGGGGTCTTCAAAAAGTTCATGGAAAGATTCATATTATCTTTTAATTCCATTTTTCCATGAGTTTTTTAAAGTACCTTTGTTTACAAAAGTACCACACTGTCTCGAAAACTATAGCTTTATAATAAGTATTGAAATTAGGTAGTGTAAGTCTTCTAACTTTTCCTTCTTCAAAATTGCTCTGGCTATTCTAGGTCCTTTTAAGTTGCATGTGAATTTTAGAATCAGCTTGTCAATTTCTAATTATTAAATTTCTTGCTTTATTGATTGTGATCAGTGTTGTTTGTAATATATCTATTTTAAGGAACCTACTGAGATTGTTTTCTTTATCCCCTAGTATATGATCAATTTTTCTGAATGTTCTGGGTGCACTTAAGAAAAAGTATATTCTGTATGATCAGGGTGTAGTGTTCAATATATATATATATATTGATCCAAAGGATCCACTTTATTGATTATATTGTTTAGGTCTTTTTTATGTCATTACTTGTTTGTTTATTTTTGTCTACTTAATCTGTGTCATTCTGCAAGTGGTATGTTAAAAGTCTCTCATTAGAGAATATTTGTATTTCTTCTTGCATTCCTTTAGTTTTTGGTTTATGCAGGGTGTTGCTTTGTTACCTTATTGCTTTCATTGGGTAAGTCTTTGTCCAACCCTTTAATTTTAGCCTTTTTGAACTACTGTGTTTTAAGCATGTCTCTTGTATACAGCATAATGCTGAGTTTTTCTTTATGAGGCAATGTAAAAACCCTTTTCTTTTAATAAGCAAATTAAGCCCATTCCTATTTGTTAGCATTGATGTTATGTTTGGTCTCAATTCTCTCATTTTATTTTATGTTGTAATTACTGTGTGTATGTGTTACATTTACTGTATTTCTTCCTCTATTGAATGTTTTCTCTAAATGTCTTTTGGTAATTAGGAAGGTTTGTATTGTTATACTAGTGGTTACCTTGGTGTTCGTATTGTCTATAGTACCTTTAGTCAACCCTTTTTTTAGCCCTTTTATCTTTTGCCATCTGATTTGTTCCTCACCTATTACCTGTACAGCAGTTAGTGATCTTATTTAGCCTTCTTCATTTTTTATCTCTTCTCCTCATGTTTTTTTAGTTGCATTCTTTCTACCTTGTCAGAACATTTACTATTTATACATTATCCTTCAACCCATGACCCCAGTCTCGTTTTATACAATCTTGGCTTTACAATTAAATATATGAAATGCTTACTGTCAGTCCTTTTGCCAAAATTTCCCCAGTCATCATTTTTGATTGGGTGAAGTGAATTCTTTTCTATGGTGCTGTCCAATAGAACTTCTTCTTGCAGTGCTGGGAATGTTCTGTATTTGTGCTGTCTGGTACTACTACTAGCCACATGTACACTGGAACACTGGAAATGTTCCTAGTGTGACTGAGGAGCTGAATTTAAAAATTTTTATTTCATTTTAGTTAATCAAGATTTAAATTTAAGTAGCTACATGTGGCTAGTAGCTACCAAACTGTACAGAAGAACTCTAGTAAATTCCTTAGGAGGGGCACATGAGTTCTGGCACATTCAAAACTGTTTACCCTCGATAGTTTTAAGGATATCTTGGCTGGAATTGGTCCATTTCATCTAAGCTGTAGAATTCACATGAATAGGGCCGGCCCGGTGGCACACTGGATAGTGCGCCGCTTGGGAAGCGTGGTGGCGCTCCCGCCCGAGGGTTCGGATCCCACATACAGACCGGTTCCCGCTCGCTGGCTGAGCGAGGCGCGGGAGCAGCACTGAGGGTTGCGATCCCATTGCCCGGTCCCGGTCCGGTACGGGGGCGACACTGAGGGTTGCGATCCGTTGCCGGACACGGAAAAAGACAAAAAAAAAAAAAAAAAGAATTCACATGAATAAAGGTGTTCATAGTATTTCCTTATTCTCATTTTAATGTCTGTGGGCTATACAGTGATATCTCGTCTTCCACTTCTTTTTTTTCCTCCCATTGACCAAACTTATCCTCTTCCACTTCTGATATTGATAATTTGTGTCTTTTTTGTTTGTTTGTTAGTCTGGCTAGAAGTTTAACCATATTTTGTCAGTCTCTTAAAAAATAAACTTTTGGTGTCATTGATTTATCTCTATTGTTTTTCCTATTTTTAATTTCACTGGTCTCTTTATTATTTCTTTTCTTCTTCTTGCTTTGAGTTTACTTTACTCTCTTTTCTAATTTTGTAAGGAATAAACTTAGATTGTTGATTTCAGACCTCTTTTTCTTTTTTACTATAAGTATTTGTTGCTGTAAATTTCCATTTTAGCACTACTTTAGCTGTATCCTGCAGATATTGATATATTTTAATTTTCTTTCAGTTCAAAATATTTCTAATTTACCTTGAGGCTTCCTTTTTGCTTTTTAAAAAAAATTATTTTATTTATTGAATCAAAATTGATTATACATATTTTTGGGGTTGAACATTGAGATATGTTGATTAAATCAATATTACTAGCATATATATTGTTACAAATCATAATTTTTCTTTATGCCCCTTGTCCAATCTCTCCCCATCCCCCTCTCCCTCCTCCTCCCCCCTCTAATTGCCCTAGATTTCTTCTCTCCTTCTGAAAGAATAATGGTTACTCTGTTAATTTGTTGCCTAGATGATCTCTTCAATGCTGAGAGATGTGATCAGTTCCCCCAATATTATCATAGAGCAGATGCTTCTTCTGTCACTCTGAAATGGGCTTTGTGGAGAGAGACAACCTCTCCTTTTCTTTATCTCTCCTGGTGACTCTTCTTGTGTGAGTGCACTCCAGTGGTTGGCAGACCATCTGTATGGTGGTTGTGGCATCCAGCCACTTTCGTGGCAGCCATGGTTATTGTGGTGGCTGTGGTGGGCCACCCATGTAGAGGTACTATTTTTGGTATGCTCCTTGGCACTGGTGGTATGCCTGGTTGTGGGGTGTGTTTGGTCCCCTTCTCCATGCCTCTGGTCCCTGGATGGGTCCCAAGGTGCTGGTGCCATGTGCCTGGTTGTGGGAGGGGTGGCTGGTCCCCTTCTCCATGTCTTGGGTCACTGGGTGAGACCCAAAGAGCTGGCTTGGTGTGCCTGGTAGTGGGAGAGGGGTCCAGTCCTCTTCTCCATGCCCTGGGTCCCTGGGCAGGCCCTGAGGTGTTGGCACAGTGTGCCTGGTTGAGGGAGGGTAGTCTGGTCTCCTTCTCCATGCCCCAGGTTTCTGGGTGGGCCCCAAGGCACTGGCGCCATGTGCCTGGTGGTGGGAGGAGGGTCCGGTCCCTTTATCCATGCCTTGGGTACCCAGGTGGGCCCCGACGTGCTGGCATTTTGTGCCTGGTTTGGGAAGAGGGTCCGGTCCCCGGCTCCATACCTCAGGTCACTGGGTGGGACCTGAGGCACTGGCTTGGTGTGCCTGGTTGTGGGAGAGAAGTCCAGTCCCCTTCTCCATGCCTCAGGTCACCAGGAAGGCCCTGAGGCACTGGCGTGGTGTGCCTGGTTGTGGGAGAGAGATCCAGTTCCCTTCTTTATGCCTCTGGACTGGGCAGGCCCCAAGGTGCTGGCGCGGTGTGCCTGGTTGTGGGAGAGAGGTCTGGTCCCCTTCTCCGTGCCTTGGGTCCGCAGGCTGGTCCCGAGGCACTGGCACAGTTTGCCTGGAAGTGGGAGTGGGGTCCGGTCCCCAGATCCAAGCCTCCGGTTCCCAGGTAGGCCTCCAGGTGCTGGTGGTGTGCATGGGCAGGAACTAATTTTTTGTCCTTTGCTTCTAACATGGGGGAACTCCCTGTGGGAAACAGTATTTGAGCTGTGTGGTTGTTTAAATTGCTACTTTGCTGCTGTTTCCCTAGGGAAGGCTTTTTGTGCAGCTCAGGGTTTAATGGTTGATTTTATAGGTACTTCCGGCTCTCCAGAGGCCCGGTGGATCTGTGTTCTGTAGAATCTCTGATCTGGGCCTGAGTTTTTTCATCAAACTGCCCCCAATGCAATTCTGCATTCCTGACCAGTCTCCTCTGAGTGGTCCTGTGCTGATTGGGGGGCAGGTCGGCTGTCCTTGCTGTGTCCCAGTTTTCCCATCTCCCCCACCGCCCATGCTCCAAACAATTCCCATGGGACGGGCCCTGCGCTGGTCCCTTGCGATGACTCACCGGCCTCTGAATGGCTCCCTTTTTTCAGTTGTTCTGGCTCCTCGTGGGAAACCTATTAGTGGTCTTGCTGTCCTGCGGCCACCGAGGCCCTCTTCTCTCCTGCCACCTCCAAGTAACTCCATCTGAAGGGCACAGCTGCGGCTTCTGCCAGCTCCTGCTCCTGCGCTCATCAGCTCGAGCCTTAAAGCAGCTGCAGCCCAAAATGCTCAGAGCAGCTTTTTCTTTCTCTCATTGTAGTTTCTCCCGCCTTCACGAACTCCGTAGGTCTCTCCTCCTCTTCCCCTCAGCTCCAACGGCCCCAGCTTGGCTGATGTTACATTTTTATAGTTGTAAATTTGGTTGATTTGTGGGAGAGAGTGACGCTGGGAACTGTCTATTCTGCCCTCTTGACTGGAACTCCCCTGAGGCTTCCGTTTTGAACCACGCATTGTGTTCTTTAGTTTCCAAATACATAGGGATTTTCTGGATGTCCTTCTCTTATTGATTTCTAGTTTAATTCCATTATGGTCAAAGAGTATACTTTGAATGGTTTTAGTTCTTTTAAATTTGTTCTGGTTTGTATCATCATTCAAGATATGGCCTAGCTTGGTAAATCTATGTGTACTTGAAGAAACTGTCTATTCTGTGTGGTTTTATGTGGAGTGTTTTGCAAAGTCAATAGGTCGATTGGTGGTATTCAGTTTTTCTATATCCTTGCTGATTTTCTGTCTACTAGTTCTTATTACTGAGAGAGATGTTGAAGTCTCCAGCCATAACTGTGAATTTGTCCATTTCTCCTTCCCTTCATTTCAGTTTTGCTTCATATATATTGGAGCTCTGTTATTAGGAGCAGTCTCCCTGACACCGCAGCTCCCAGGGGCTTCCTTTCCTATCCTCTGGGTTAGGGGCTTTAGTCTCTCCACTCTGGCACTCATGGTTTTGCAGCTAGGTTTGCCTTTGGGGCCAAGTAGTGGCAGGATAGAAAAAAAGCAATGGGGTCCTTTTCACATTCTTCAGACCATTATTCTTGTGGTCAGGAAAGAGGACTTCTCTCCCTTTGAGTTTGAGGTGCCTGCTGCTGCAGGGTTGCAGCTTTGGGTCTGGGGCTTGCTTGGGGGTAAGACTGCATGAGAAAAAAAGACAGGATTTCTCTTATTCTCTCTGTCCAACAGCCCCCCCCACTGCTTTTTCCTGAGACCAGAGAGGTCTTTTCTTAGCTTTTCAAGATAGAGGAGGTAAATGGGTATCCTCCTATCTACTACCTTAACCTGGAAATGGTGCTGTTACTTGAAACTGTCTCCCCTCTTTCTTACTTTCCAAGACTCCATATTTTTCTGGTTCTATTTTTACCATTCAAAAATTTGCATTGCCATCTTTATGGCATATTGGTGTCCCCTCAGATTCTGTACTTGGTGCTTCTCTGAAACTCTGTGTTCTCTCTTAGCTATTCAATTTATTCTGGTGGCTTCAGCTAGTACTGAAGTGATCTTGCCTCCCAAACCTTGGCCTATCCTGGTCCTCTCCTGAGCTCCACCTAGACAATTCCATCAGTATGTTCCATAAACACTCCAGTTTAGTTCCAAGATCTATCTCAATTTCCCCTCTGATCTATTGTCTCTCCTGTTTTGCCAATCTCAATATATGGCACCAGCCCCAACCCAGCTGTTCATGCAGTTATCCTGGGATTAATACTCTCTCTTCCTTTCTCTTCTGTATCATTTATAAATAGAAATATGTTGTGGATAGTCAGAAAATATTCCAATGGTGTAAGGAATAAAGTGTTTTGGAGACTGATGATCTATAGGGAAAAAAAAAACGGTGAAGGACCGTTCACATTTGGGCTCCTGAATGTGTCTATAGTCCTTTATCTCATCACAACCTGCAGCATAATTTTCTTGTCATTGTGCTGTATGTAGTTCCATGAACTCATCATGTGTGTTTCATGTCTTCCTGCATTTCCTCTGCTGTTGCACCATATCCATGAGGGAAACAATATTCTTGTTTAAAGATTCAAAGCTCTACCTCCCCAGGTGAAGTGCAGTCTGATAATACCAACTGAATTCAGTTCTGTCCCCTGTGAAATTCAGTCCCAGTGCCCCTGTCCCATGTCTAGCATCTTTTCTGTGTGTGAGGCCCTTGAGAGCAAGCCCTGTGCTTCTTCATTTTTGTTTCCCTGGCAACTTGCACAGGTTCAGGCACATACGAGCAGGGTTAACTCAGTAGTCTAGTAGTCTTTTCTTCATGAATTAACAAATTAACACAGTAGTGGGGTTTTTCAGGATCTCTCCCCCAAGACAAAGAATTGGGTATCTGGTATAGCTCTTTCTAGTTAACTCAACAGGGCTCCATTGAGAGAATTAGTTCCCACATCTTTTCCATGCATCCCATTCTGATCATTGCAGATTGCTGTTACAGGGATCCGTGTCATTTGAGGATGTGGCTGTGGATTTCACCCGACAGGAGTGGCACAGACTGGACCCTGCTCAGAGGACCATGCACAAGGATGTGATGCTGGAGACCTACAGCAACCTGGAATCTGTGGGTGAGGATCATTGTCTGTGTAACTCTTGGGGGCATGCATTTCCTTTCTTGATTGCTGTGATGTGTACAACCTCTGTAAAGTTAATGATATGTTAGTTTCAGATTCAAGGGTCACAGATGACTGATCAGTTTATGGCACCAGGAAGAATGTATGTATTCTCACTTCCCCAATGAAAGGTTTAAATGGGCCCCCTTCCTTGTGCAGCTCATGAAGATGCACCTTCCTCCTCCATCAGAGGTCCTAAAGCTCAGACAACTTGGCCCATGTCCTGTGCCATTTCCTGTTAACAGGCCTCTGCGTGGCCAAACCAGAGATGATTTTCAAGTTGGAGCGAGGAGAAGAGCTGTGGATATTAGAGGAGGAATCCTCAGGCCATGGTTACCCAGGTGAGTGAGCAAGAACCACACATATGGAAAATAGGGGAAATAAAATCCCAGGAATTGAGGTCAGAGGTTATCCTTGTACAATATTTTTCAGGTATCTCTTTATAGAGGCCCTAGCTCTTTGAAAATAAGGACAGAAGGTATACATGCTTCAGATATCTAAACCACACATCCCAATATCATGCTCATGTTCAGTGCACTCTCCTGTTTTATCTTGATTTTTGTAGAGTTATTTACCGCTCTTATCTCTGTCTCATCTTAGACATTTATTTTCCCTTCCCTCCATTGCCTTGGATGCCTTCTGTTGTCAGACATTCATTCATACGTTCATTGTCATTCACCAAACCTTAAATGAATATCAACTACACAAGGGTACTTCAAGAAGTTCATGGAAAATAAAATTAAAAGATAATGCAAATCTTTCCATGAACTTTTTGAAGTACCCTTGTGTAGTCACATGCTAGGTGTGGGGATCCAGCAGTGAATGAAATAATATCACTGTTCTCTTGGAGCTTGCAATCTAGTGTTATAAGGATAGATAGTAATGTGTACTTTTAGGAAATACAGTCAGGGAAGGCTTTTTGGTGAGGTTAACATTTGTGCACAAGCATCAGTAGAGTGAGAGACAGAGCCATGTAGATTTTGAGTATTCTGGGCACACAGAACAGTAAGTGCGAAACCTAGTCTGAGGGATATATCCCAGGACTAGCAAAGAGGCTGGTGTGGTTTAAATGGGGGTGAGACAGGGTGATAATGTTAAGAGGTGATATCAGAAAGTTAGCAGGGGGTCAAATTACATAGAGTTTTAAAGGCTATGTTAAAGAGTTTAATTTTATACTGTGACAAGGAAGCCCTTTTGGAGTTTTGCATGAAAGAGTGACATGCTCTGATTTGTTTTTAAAGGATCTCTGTCACTGCTGTGTAGCAACAGTTCTGTTGGGGGTAATGCCCTCAGGCATGATAGTGACTTTCAGCATCAGAAGATTCAAACTTTGGATCAAAACATTGAATATAATGTATGTGGGAAAGGCTTCCATGAGAAAACTTGCTTTGTTAGACACAAAAGAACACATACAGGAGATAAAAACTTTGAATGTCATGAATGTGGGAAAGCTTACTGCAGGAAATCAAACCTTGTTGAACATCTGAGAATACACACAGGGGAGAGACCCTATGGATGTGGTGAATGTGCAAAAACCTTCAGCGCAAGATCATACCTCATTGCTCATCAGAAAACTCACACAGGGGAGAAGCCTTTTGAATGTACTGAATGTGGGAAATCTTTTGGCAGGAAATCACAACTCATTCTACATCAGAGAACACACACAGGAGAGAGACCCTATGAATGTACCGAATGTGGGAAAACCTTTTCTGAGAAGGCAACCCTCACAATTCATCAAAGAACTCACACAGGGGAGAAACCCTATGAATGTACTGAATGTGGTAAAACATTTCGTGTAAAGATATCCCTTACCCAACACCAGAGAACTCACACGGGGGAGAAACCCTATGAATGTGGGGAATGTGGGAAAAACTTCCGTGAAAAGAAATCCCTAAATCAACATCAAAGAATTCACACAGGTGAGAAACCCTATGAATGTGATGAATGTGGGAAATTCTTCCGAATAAAGACAACTCTCAATAATCATCAGAGAACTCACACAGGAGAAAAACCCTATCAGTGTAATGAATGTGGGAAATCTTTCAGGGTGCACTCATCTCTCGGGATCCATCAGAGAATTCACACAGGAGAGAAACCATATGAATGTGATGAATGTGGTAATGCCTTCTATGTGAAAGCACGCCTCATTGAACATCAGAGAATGCATTCAGGAGAGAGACCTTATGAATGTAGTCAATGTGGAAAAATCTTCAGTATGAAGAAATCCCTTCGTCAACACCAGAGAACTCACACAGGAGAGAAACCTTATGAATGTAGTGAATGTGGAAATGCCTTCTATGTGAAAGTACGCCTCATTGAACATCAGCGAATTCACACAGGAGAGAGACCCTTTGAGTGTCAGCACTGTGGGAAAGCTTTCTGCCGGAAAGCACACCTCACAGAACATCAGAGAACTCACATGGGCCGATCCTTGCCTTTTACAATGCAGAAAGCTTCTCCCTGAAGACTCCCCTCACCAATGGGTCAAGCCCCTTGGGCATCTGATCACCTGGGCATACACGGTGTGTCTGTAACAATTTGGCACCTACATTGGGTTTTTCCTTCTATGCATTGACTGTTCATATCTTTTGCTCATTGTTTTCTAATGGGCTGTTCATTTTTTCTTCTTGGTTTAAATGTTGTTGTTTAATATATGAGAATATAAAAATCCTTTTTTAGTCATGTCTGTTACAAATATCTTCTCCCAGACTGTAGCTGGTTCTTTAATTTTCTTATCTCTTTTCTTCTGCTGAAATTTTATGTTTTTTTTTTTTTTCCTTTTTGTCTTTTTTCGTGACCGGTAACGGGATTGCAACCCTGGGTGTCGCGCCTGCACCGCGCTCAACCAGTGAGCGGACCGGTCTCTATATGGGATCCGAACCCTCGGTGGGAGTGCTGCCATGCTCCCAAGCGCCGCACTCTACCGAGTGCGCCACCAGGCCAGCCCTGAAATTTTATGTTTTAATATCATCAGTTTCAAGGTGATAATATTGTCCTATACTTCCCTCTAAAGTTAAGGTTTTCATTTCAACATTTAGAATTTTAATCTACCATGAGGGTTTTTTTTGTGTGTGTGTAGTATGAAGTGTACAATATATAATACCCTATTGTCTTTTTAAATTTTTACATACACAGCATCACACTATATTTAAAGTTCTGCAGCTTGCTTTTTTCATGTAATATCACCTTTTGAAGATCTATCCATGCTGATAAATATGGTCTTGTTTATTCATTTATCTTCCCATTCTCCTAGTGAAAGACATTTGCGTTATTTCTGTGTTTAGTGTCTAAAACTAGAGGTGGAACTATAGGTCATAGGGTTTAGGCAGTGTGTCGGTTATTAAACTATTGTGTCCCAGTTCCAAACCCACCCTTCTAGACTATGCTTTATGCCTCTACAAGCCACATTTCAGCCTTGCCAACGAGAGATACTAGATATAAACTTTGGGGCTAGGGAAGGAAGAAGGAACTTGCTCCCTTTTTCCTTCCTTTTAGTTTCCTCTTCATCAGAATGTCCACCCAGCATTGCTTTTTCACTTGGGCAGCAGCAGTTCCTTCTTGTAGCAGTAGTTTAATACAGTTTTCAGTTTTCTGGCACTGACAGAATCAGTCCCATCTGAGACACAGCATCAGCACTTCTAGAGGAATGAGTTGCAGCTGCATGGGATCACTCCTCCACACCCTTGTAATTTTTAATAATTTCAACTTTTTCACTGTGTTACCTTAGCTTGGCTGCTTTCTTCAGTTGCTACCTTCCTGATAACTTGAATGTTCTTGATAGAGTTTGGATGTGTTGTTCCCACCAAAACTCATGTGGAAATCTGATCCTCAATGTGGCAGTGTTGGGAGCTGTTTGAGTCATGGGGGCGGATCCCTCATGAATGGATTAATGCTCTCCCTGGGAGAGAGGGGCCTGAGTGAGATGTCACACTGTTAGTTCCTGCGAGAGCTGGTTGTTGTTTAAAAGACCCTGGCACCTCCTCTCTCTCTTGCTTGCTCTTGCCATGTGATCTGCTTGTACCTGCTGGCTGCCTGCCACTTTCTGCCATGAGTAGAAGCAGCCTGAGGCCCGTGCCAGACACAGTTGTCCCAGAATCGTAATCCAAATAAACCTCTGTTCTTTATATGTTACCCAGTCTCAGGTATTCTGTTATAGCATCATAAAATGGACTAAGACAGTTCTCTTTTAATTTCTTCAATTATGTAGTTAACAACATTACAACTAGTTAAAATTATTTATTATAAATTCTTTCTATTAAAATAACTGGAGTGTTGCTTCCTGGCTGGGCCTTGATTGATACAGAAGTTTTCTAACTTTATGATTTTTTCCTTCCAAATTTTATTAATTTACACTCTCATGAGCAGTTTGAGAAAGTTTCCATTTTTCTACACTCACCAGCACTTATTATCAGTTCATTAAATTGTTGCCAATCTGAAAGGTATGAAATGACTTTAAGCCTTTGCATCCATGAATGTAGTTTGTCTTTTTATTTCTTAACTCATACTTTTTGACCTTCAGTAAGATTTTGTGGTTTTCTCCAAGAAATTGTCATTGAAAATCAATTTCTTAATAGCTACTTTGCTCATGTATGTGTATATATATATATGCAAGGGTACTTCAAAAAGTTCATGGAAAAATAGAATTGAAAGATACTATGAATCTTTCCATGAACTTTTTGATGTATCCTTGTATATTTCAAAATAGAATGATGTTATGGAGTTTATATACATATATATATATGCACACATACACACCCCCCACATATTTATATGTAATTTGTGTGGCACACACATACACACCCACAAAGGATCTATGTTTTATGTTAGCAATATTCATTTTATTTTACCTACATGTTCACCATTTTGATTACTCTTCATTGCTTTCTGCATTCTATCCAGGATCAATTTCCCCTTTGTCAGAAAGATAACTTGTGGAGATTTTGCTAGTGGGGGTCTGTTAGTAGTAAAAGTCTCAACTTTATCTCAGAATGTTTTTTATTGCACCTTTTTTGACAAGCAAAAGTGAATCCTTTGCCTTTAATATTTCATAGCACAATGACACAGTAAATGGATGCTGAATTAAATACATTTTGGGGGGTGGCCAGTTAGCTCAGTTGGTTGGAGCATGGTGCTGCTCACACTGAGGTCCAGGGTTTGATCCCTGTACCAGCCAACTGCCAAAACAGACACAAACAAACAAACAACAAATAAATGGGTTTTTTGCTTCTTTTCTGAATGTCCCACAATGATTTGATCCCTGTACCTGCCAGCCACCAAAACAAATACAAATAAATAAATAAATACTTTTTTGCTTTTTTCCAAATGTCCACAATGATTATGGTGACTCAGGTTATATGAACTAATTATCAAATACCCCACAATATAGCATATACTTGAATATGCATATTATACTTTTTGTATTTTCTATACAGCATGCCCTTACATTTACTAAGTATTAATTACATTTATCAAGACGCCATCTCATCAGTTATTTCAATCTTTAGCTCACCCATTTAAAACATTAAACTTAAGTTTTAAAATTTTTATCATGAAAAATGTCAAACATAAATAAAGGTAATCTATAGTGACGGAAAACAGATCACTGGTTGCCTCTGGGATGGGAATTAACTCACAAGGGGTAGGAGGAAACTTCCTGGTGTGATAGAAATAGTCCATATCTTGAAAGAAATAATTAAGATCAGAGCAGCAGTAAATGAAAGAGACCCAAGAAATAATACAAAAGATCAATGAAACAAAAGTTGGTTTTTGGAGAAGATAAGAGAAGACTGAAATAACAAATTCAGAAATGAAAAAGGAGACATTACAACTGATTCTACAGAAATACAGAATCATTAGAGAATATTATAAACAACTATATGCCAACAAATTTGAAAACCTGGAGGAAATGGATAAATTTCTGGATACATACAAACTACCAACACTGAACCAAGAACACAAAGAAAACCAGACCAATAACAAGCAATGATATTGAAGCAGTAATCAGCAGTCTTCCAACAATGAAAAGCCCAGAACTGGTTGACTTTACTGCTGAATTCTGTCCTACTTTTAAAGAGGAATTAATACCAATTTTCTTCAAACTGTTCCAAAAAATTCAAACAGAGGCCGTTCTCCTGAACTCATTCTGTGAGGCCAGCACCACCCTGATACCAAAACCAGACAAAGATACAACAACAAAAGAAAACTACAAGCCAATATCTCTGATGAGCATAGATGCAAAAATCCTCAATGAGATATTAGCAATCAATATGATAACACATCAAAAAAATTATACACCATGATCAAGTGGGATTCATCCCAGGTATGCAAGGATGGTTCAACATATGCAAATCAGTAAATGTGATACATCACATCAACAAAATCAAGGACCAGAAACATGATTATCTCAATAGATGTGGAAAAAGCATTTGACCAAATTCAACATCTTTTCATGATAAAGGCTCTCAAAAAATTAGGTATAAAGAGCCAGCCCATGGCTCACTTGGAAGAGCATGGTGCTGATAACACCAACGCCATGGGTTTGGATCCCTATATAGGGATGGCCAGTTAGCTCACTTGGGAGAGCGTGGTGCTGACAACACCAAGTCAAGGGTTAAGATCCCCTTACCGGTCATCTTAAAAAAAAAAAAAGTTAGGTAGAGGAGGAAAGTATCTTAACATAATAAAAGCCGTGTATAACAAACTCACCACCAATATCATCCTGAATAGGGAAAGATTGAAAGCTTTTCCTTTAGAAACAGGAACAAGACAAAATGCCCACTCTCACCACTCCTATTCAACATAGTATTGGAAGTACTAGCTAGAACAATCAGGCAAGAGAAAGAATTAAAGGGCATCCAGATTGGAAAAGACAAAGTCAAACTGTTCCTTTTTGCAGATGACATGATCCTATATATAGAAGAACCTGAAGACTCTACCAAAAAACTCTTAGAGCTGATAAACAAGTTCATTAAAGTTGCAGGATACAAAATCAACAGGCAAAAATCAGTAGTATTTTAATACTCCAATACTGAACTAGCAGAAAAATAAATCAAGAAATCAAACCCATTTACAATAGTCACCAATAGAAAAAAATACCTAGAAGAGGTGAAAGAGAACTTTCTTTTTTTTTTTTATACAATAAGAACTAAAAATTACTGCTGGACGAAATAAAAGGGGACACTCCATGCTCTTGGATTAACAGTGTGAAAATGTCCCAAAGCAATCTACAGGTCGAATGCAGTCCCAATCAAAATACCAATGACGTTTGTCACAGAAATGGAAAAAACAATCCTAGCATTCATATGGAACAAAAAAAAGACCCTGAATAGCCAAAGCAGTCCTGAGCAAAAAATAAATAAATAAATAAAGCTAGAGACATAACACTACCTGACTTCAAATTATACTACAAAGCTATAGTAACACAAACAGCATGGCACTGACATGAAAACAGACACTTGGACCCATGAAACAGAATAGAGAACCCAGAAATCAACCCACGTATTTATAGCCAACTGATCTTTGGCAAAGACACCAAGTACATACATTGGGGGAAAGACTGGCTCTTCAATAAATAGTGCTGGGAAAACTGGACATCCATATGTAGAAGAATAAAACTAGACCTGTGTCTCTCACCATATACCAAAATCAACTCAAAATGGATTAT